TCCAAACCAATTTTTATTAAAATCGGTTCGGCCAATTTCAAGATACAGAATTTTTTCCAAAACGTTGCAAAAAAGTTTAATTGTTTATAACTTATGAAAAAATTCGAATTTTGAAAAATCGTTTCAGGGGTTTTTTTAGTGACATCATGGACTACTAAAATATATGAGTATCACTTTTTTCTATTACACAAAAAATATTTGGGGGCCACTTCAGGAATTCTTACCCAATTATTTTTTGATAAATTTTAGATATTCATAATCTGGAAATATTAACGAATCTCAATATATATTTTTTAAAGTTGAGTTATTAAAATTATAAATTTTTTAAGCAATAAAACTCGGGTTAAAATTTTAATCCTTCAACAAAGGACCTAGGGGTCTATTGTTTAAGGAGGGATTGCAATATAATTTCCAAACTTAACAGAAATTTTCTACAAACTATTATGTTTTTTTTGCTGTTTTACACGTATATCGTGAGAGACGGTTTGTTGATCTTATATACCTTTAAAACTATTGTTAAAGTACTTTAAAAATGTCTTCTTATGGGTTATCAGGTATTGGTACTGAAGTGGAACTCAAGCCAACTCCAATTCAGTACCATTCTTTCGGTAGGGACATGAAATGAATAGGATGTATACAGGATGTAATAGGATGTTCTTGAATTAGCAAGAAGATTGTCGTTTTAATTTCTTTCGATTCGATCAAAATATTCTCATGTAGAAAATAATCATGGAAGACTGGGTGCGACATATTATCTATAAAGTTTTTGTAACGTTTAACTAGAAACGTTTATAAAAAATTAATTTTTTTTAAAATAAAATTTATAATATAAATTTTATTTAAAAAATTAAATACAATCGCAAGTAAAATTGCACAAATATAAAATATCAATAAAATTATTGTAATTTGTTTCTGGATGTTATTCTACAGTTTTTTTTCCAAAAGTGAATTATAATAAAAAATTTAATGTTAATTTAAAAATAATTTAGATAATTTTTTTAATAATTACTTAATTTCAGGAACTTAGTATTCATTATTATTTAATTAATCATTATATATGTGATGAGTTAATTTGTAAACTAATTTTATTTTATGTAAATTGAATTGAATTCAATATTAATTTATTTATATTTAATATAATAATTAATAAATTAAGGTGAATAATAAAATAATTAAATAGTTAATTGCATAATTATATACATTATAATTATTTTATAAACATGTTTATTTTTACTGAACTGTTTTTATATACTATAAAAACTTTGGTTTCATAATAAACAAATTTTTAGATTTATTTTTTGATTTTTTAAAATAATAATTTGCAATATATAATATAAGAAGAAATGAAAATTCTTTGTGTTTTCGATTTTATATAATAAAATATTAATTAGTTAGTTGACTAATTTAATTAATATTTAATTTGTGTTGGGTTACTATTAATTTCAGACACTTTTTCCTAAGTATACCAAAAAAGTATTACCTGGAGTGAAACTTATCTCTGTTACAGTTAAAGCTTTCTTTTCGTATTCAATAAAATACAAAACTGCCAGTAGTCGGCCAGTACTGAACCAGTAGTGGTTACCAATACTGCGGTGTCAACTCTGGTAGCCAATACTGGTAAAATGTTATCATCCCAAAGTTACGCCAACTCTGGCGCCAATACTGGGTGCCAGTAATGCGCCAGTATTTGTCAGTACTGCGCCATTAGTAAATTTTTGATTGGGATATCATAGACAATTAATAAATAACAATTTAATGATCATAACAAAAATAAATAATATATTACTTAATTAATAAATATTAAATTGATAATAATAATAATAGAATATATATTGTATAAAAAAATAATAGGTAACAATAATGATATAAATATAATAAAATTATTAATATTATAATTATTATTATTTTTACATACTTAAGTACATTAAGTAAATTAACATTTTTTTATTAAGAAGCAATATAGGTAATTAACAAAAAAAGTAAATTCAATAGTGAAAATAGTTTTATATTGCTTTATTAACGTTTTCTTATTATTAAGCATTTTAAATAAGCGCGCTTTTTCGACCTATAAGAGAGTTGTCGTAGCGCAAGCGCAGTAGCGTTTAGGTAGGGTCATTAGCAACTCTGGTCACGGTGACGCGTAGGCGAAATTCTTCCCCTCTACACTTTTTAATAAATGAAGCTTCTCATTGGTTTTTCCATTTCTTGTTTGTCCATTACTTGCTGAGGACCAATAGTAGAGATGGATTTCTCCTGTATATATATAGGTCTGCTAGATAAATCTAGATTTACGATATAGTTTCTACCTAGTTTAACTATATATTAAAACTACATTGTAACTAGTCTATCAAATCGTTACACTTTTAGATAGTTTCTGTACAGATTATCTATGTCGCGCCAGTATAGTATCAAGAAAAACTAGAGAGTATCGTTATAGTGCCATGACTATTTTCCACATGGGTTACGAGACAAACGAACATCTCGACTTCTCATGCAACTCTAATGCAAATATCTCGAAAAATAATAAATATTTTTTTTCAAAATTTGTTTTACTTAATTAGACCCATAACCTCTACTCAAAAACGTAGTATGGAAGAAATCGGAGGATAGACCCCCCAATCTCACATGCAATTGCTCTACTGTGTTGTGAGGTTTACAGTAAACGATCTCAAATCCCTAACATAACAGTAATCATTTTCATCAATATGTGATAGAATGTAGTATTAAATTCCATAATTTGCGATATTTAAGAACATTTTTAGATTCTCAACCGCCATGTTAAATTTTGAAATCGTAAATACACTTTATGTAGCATAAGACAAAAAAATCATTTACGATGGACAATGTTTAAACAATATCATTTTTTGTAAAAAACTGGCTATATCCTTTTTCTCCTTAAAGCTATTTTAATTTTTATTGCAGAATCTGAAAGAGCAGTTTTTGAAACATTATCTTACGCAATGCTGAAATGCTTTTAACACCAAACATCGGATTAAATATATGTTCTTTAGAAAATAATGGATTTCCGTACTTTGTGGGACAATATCGACCTCTAAAAATTGTTTAAAAAATCTGAAAAAATTAGGAAAATTTTTTTTTATCATGTAATAGAAATAGTTAAACCAATTAAAAATGTAATTGGTAGAATGACATTTTGTGATTGTATTAACTCAATTGAAAAATGTTAAAACAACTCAAGATGTAAGTAGTAGATTTTACTACTTAAAGTGGTTCAATAGGCTTTAAGAACATTTTTTTGGTACATTTAATAAATATTTTGCAATTGAAACTACTACTTTAAGTAGTAAACTTTACTACTGAAAGTGGTTCAATAAGCTTTAAGAACATTTTTTTGTAGAATTAATAAATCTTTTGCAATTGAAACTACTGCTCTAAGTAGTAGATTTTACTACTTAAAATAGGAAAATAAAATTATTTTTTATTTATAATTGTTTATTATCAGTAGAATTGACTTTTTCATCCTCTCTCCTATACTGACGCTTATTTTATGCCCTAACAGAGAAAATTTCTAACCGACAGGAACTGAACCCTCGACCCTAACTCTCGCTATCCGATACCTTAACCGACTAACCACGCACGCTTGCTACGACAGTCTGCAAACAACTCGAAGACTACTTTCTGCTTGTCCAATTGGTAATTTAACTATTTAAAGTAGTCATTTTTACTACTTTTATTAGTTGCTATAACTATCTTTTTTAAGTTTTGACTTGTAAATTTTTCATCTTTTAATAATATTATAAGTTGTTTAATCGCATAGTGCAGTAAAATCTACTACTTAAAGTGATAGTTTTAATTGCAAATGATTTTTAATTCTACGACATAAATGTTCTTAAAGCCTATTGAACCACTTTAAGTAGTAAAAGCTACTACTGAAAGTAGTAGTTTTAATTGGAAACGATTTGTAAATTTTACATCAAAAACGTTTTTCAAGCTTATTGAATTAATTAAAGTAGTAGTTTTAATCACAAAGGATTTGTTAATTCTACAACAAAAATGTTCTTAAAGCCTATTGTACCACTTCGAGTAATAAAATCTACTACTTAAAGTAGAGGTTTTAATTACAGACGACTTGTTAATTCTACAAGAAATTTTATTGAAGCGTATAAAATCATAGAAATTAATAAAAAATTGACTACTCAAAAAGCAGTTATATTAATTAAAGAAAATAATTCCTTTTACTATATTTCATATAACTGGTGAATAGTAGTTGGATTTACTACTCTTTAAATTTTGAGTTGACTACAATTCCACTTGTTTTTACTACCTTAAGAAAGTTAATTTTACTACCGACCTGTAGTTGTACTTTAACTACATATTTACGTAAAATCAACTATTACTTATTAACTTCTTAAAAATAATTACATGAACATGATTAGATTAACTAAAAAAGTAGTTATTTTAACTACTTTCTAGTCAACTACCCAATTGTAGTTGAATTTCTTGTCAACATTTTTTTCAGAATTTTTCATTCTAGGAATTGTTCTCTTTCTGAAATCTCAAGTCTCAAATGTATAACAAAAGTGACAATTTAAAAAGAAAATGTTTTTTAAAAAATACTTTGTTTATGTCTTCTTGATAAATAATTATGTACCTTTTTCTTTATTTGATTCAAAAATAAGTCTTAAAACTCGAATCTATCATTTTTAGCAATTATTTTGATACAATTTTTATACATTAAATAGTTTAAATGGGAATCTTTTGCTTCTAATTAATAGTTTTGACCATCTTTTACATCTTCTTTCAATACAATGATCATCGTTGTTTTTATTACAAATTTTATGTAACTTTACTTCTTTTTAGTTCCTAAAAGAGGACACCAATTCTGCAGAAATATCAAGAAATTTGGTTTTAGTTTGTATAATTTAAACTTGATAAATAATTCTGAAGAAATAATAATTTTTTCAAACATGGAGCAAAATTTTTATTAAGTAAAGATAGTTCTTCTATGGAAAAGGTTGTCATAAAATTATAAAACTTACCAGTTCCATCAAAAGGTCTAATAGTTGCACTTTGTGACCAAACAATTTGTCTAGTTTCTCGTCGTATCATTAAAGTTTTTTTTTCCAATCGTTTAAAAAAAGTTGTTACTATAGTTCCGCGTTCCAGCTGACTAATAATTTGCTCCATTTCAGGAATTATTCCATTCATACTTGTATATTTAATTTCTGCTTTACAAAGTCAGTTTTATAAATTCACTTCCTGTAATTTAAAATTAAAATCTTAGGAATAACCTTAGAAACAAATATTATTTCAAATGCTTCATTGCTTACACTAAAAATATCCTAAGGATATTTAGAATACATACGAATGATATCATGCGACATTTATAATACTTTATTTGCATTTGATTGAGATTTAAAATGAGTAAAATGATATCTCAGTAGAAAGAATTTTTCAATAACTTTTTAGTCACTGTGTGATTCTAAAATTCATTTTTTTTGAATAATTTATAATATTCACTTTGGAGAGAAAAACTTATTGAATTAAATTAAAAATAATCTACTATAAAAAGAACGAAATATGGAAATACAAGTATAATTCAAAACAAATAAAAATATAAGACAATCTGTTTTAAACTCTACCAAGTATAATTTAAGACAAAAATGAAAATAAACATATTTAACTAGTTTTTTAAAAAAGTAAATGTTGAACTAATAATTATTTTATTACTTTAGAAACATTTGATTGAATTTTTGGGAAACAAAGATGTACGATTTAACTTTAGGTTGAAGAATTTTTTATTATTTGAATTAAATGAATCCAAATAAAAAAAATTATTACCAATTTATATTTTTTTAATCGGATAATTATGTATCCATAATTATATATTTAAAATGTTTAAATGAAATATTACTGTTGTTTTTGTATTCTATCATCTTTTTATTTATTTAGAATTAGAAATAAAAGTGTTTTATTAATGTCAACAAAATGTCTAGTTCTTTGACATTTAATTCATATATAAGTATAATTAAACTTCACATGTCAATTCCTATATAAATTGAAAAATACATAGTGTCAACCACTGAACTTTATATATCTAGAACGATGTCTGCCATAGAAAGTCGCGAACCGAGTAAGAGAGCTGATAAATGTATAAGGTTATTCTCCTCTTTGTCGGTACAGGTCCATTATAAAATATTTAAGGCCTGAGCAGAAGAGAAACGTAACTGGAATCGTAATCGCAAACATAAAGGCGGTTCCAGAATATGTGCAAAAGCCACACTAATGGAGCATTTACACCTTTAGTAAAAAAAAATTTTATTTTGCTTTTTCCGAAGTACACAAATCTGATTGGTTGTTCACAATCTGATTGATAATGGACAACCAATCAGATGTTTGCATTTCGGAAAATCAAAGTAAACATTTTTTTTTACCAAAGGTGTAAATGCTCCATAAGTACAGGCGAACCTCTCATAAGACAACCTCTAATAAAGGCCTAAGCAGAATAGTACGGAAGCCTGTACGGCTCACGAGCGTCTCGTACGCAAGTGGCGGTGTTTCGTACCACAAGTGGCACGAAGTCGGAAGTCCGTCCAACTTGTGGCAAGTTCGTTAGTTCGTGACACTTGTTGGACAGACTCCGTGCCACTTGTGGAAAGTGGATTTCTTGAAGGCCTTTCTCCAATAGGAACCTAAACTTTTGCGTTGCGTGACTGACGCGTTGATTTTAGCATTGGTTGCCAATAGCAACCGACGCAATGCATACGCAACGCAAGAGTTTAAGATCCTATTGGAGAAAGGCCTTGAAGGGTCATTCACAAATATGACAATTCCGTTGTATTCTGTTGCCGTCTATTTCGTCAGTGCTTTTCATTTCAAGTATAATTTCATCCGGGCAAGTCCGTTTAATGTTTTTGAATAAAAATGAATTTGTTATTTTTTAATTGAAAATATATGTAAAAGATTACATTTCAGTGTAAACAAATGATATTGACATCTTTATTAATCTTAAATATTCATAAAAATATACTTTTAATTTTAAAAAATAAAATCCTCTTCATGTATTTTAAATTAAAAAATGGCAACATAACCAAAAAATCTTATTTTTATTCTAAACTAAGAAAAAACTTCCGCTTAATTCTTTGTGGAATCCGTAGTTTATTAATATGTATATTTACGTTTGGAAGGAGTATTTATGTGTGAACTATAAAAAGTTTGTTCGATGACATTTACTAATATGCTAATATTACTAATATCTACGGAAGCGCCTATCCGCCACTGTGAGCGAATCATGCATGAAGCCTAAAGTAAGCTTCACATTGCATGATTTGCAGTGGTGCCTACCTATTAGGCCAGCTGAAACTGGACATATTTTCACTTTTTGCGAGCGAGCGAAGCCCCCCATGACTGGTGCGAATGTAATTTTGTAGGTGAAATTTTAAGTCTAAATAAAGGTAGTGAAATGTAATATTAAAAAATGATGTGTTTTGAATAATTATTCGCTGATAATTATTTTCAATAAAGAAAACTTGTGAGGTAAGTTGCATTTTATTAATATAATTAAAAAAAGTTTTTTAGGTTAAGTGGTATAATCAGTTTAATTACATTTTTATTATTTCAATTGCTTTTTATTTATTATTATATATTATTGTTTACTATATAATCTAAAAATATTAATATTTTGTTTTTGAAAATTTTGATTTTAAACATATATCAAGTATAATGGTGATAGTAACATAACCTCAAAACCTATAAAAATAAAAAAATTGTTTTTAACGCAAACAAAAAATATAATAAATATTAATTTCTAACAATTTTACAAAATCTATAGTTTTACTTATTATCAAAACTTTCAAAAACAAAATATTAATATTTTTAGATTAATATAGTAAACAATAATATATAATAATAAATAAAAAGCAATTGAAATAATAAAAGTGTAATTAAACTGATTATACCACTTAACCTAAAAAACTTTTTTTAATTATATTAATAAAATGCAACTTACCTCACAAGTTTTCTTTATTGAAAATAATTATCAGCGAATAATTATTCAAAACACATCATTTTTTAATATTACATTTCACTACCTTTATTTAGACTTAAAATTTCACCTACAAAATTACATTCGCACCAGTCATGGGGGGCTTCGCTCGCTCGCAAAAAGTGAAAATATGTCCAGTTTCAGCTGGCCTAATAGGTAGGCACCACTGCAAATCATGCAATGTGAAGCTTACTTTAGGCTTCATGCATGATTCGCTCACAGTGGCGGATAGGCGCTTCCGTAAATATCTTATAAAATTCATTTTTTCTTCTTCACATGAAATTGAAATGAAAAGCACTGACGAAATAGATAGCAACAGGATCCAACGGAATTGTCATATTTGTGAATGACCCTTTAAAAAATCCACTTTCCACAAGTGGCACGAAGTCTGTCCAACAAGTAGCACGAACTAACGAACTTGCCACAAGTTGGACGGACTTCGTACCACTTGTGGTACGAAACACCGCCACTTGCGGCCGAGACGCTCGTGAGCCGTACAGCTTCCGTAGAATAGATTTACGGAAGCTTCTACGCGCCACCACAAAACCAAGTTTATGCTCGATTCATTTTAGCCTCGAAAACTAAAGAACCGTGTGTGACTTCGCTGTTTCCATGTTTTTGACGTGAAAAACCGCGAGGTGGTTCGGGTGTTTGGTCGTTCGCACGTTCGCAGATTCGACAATTTGTCCAAAATCGTGTAACATTGTCTTTTTAGTTATATTTATAGATAAAAGTAAATAAGTTGATATTTCAATTCTTAAATTTTATGTAAGATTGTATGATGTCCGCAATTAAATAAAGTTTTTGCTTTTATTTTGATTAGAAAATATCGTTATTGTGAGGTGGATTGGTCATATATAAAATAATTTTTTTTGGAATTGATAGTTATTTATTGTATTAATTTAGAAATAAAATGTCTAAAAAAGTATTCACATGTAATTATTAAAAAACAACATGTTTCAAAATAATTTGGACTGATCCCTCTTCATAAAACTTTGTTTATTTGGAAGCGTTGTTTATCATGCTTATCATGGTCTAGTGACAAAACGCAACGCAAAACGCTGCCATGGAACTGCAGCCTTAAGCTGTCAAAAAGCAATTTCTTGGCGGAATGACTTTACATAGAAATAAAAAAACCCCGCTCGAAATTACACAGGATTATTAACATCCTATTAAATAATTGCTTCTCTCTGAGCATTATATATTATTGTAAATAATATAAGATAAACATGTGAAAAGGAAGGACAATTATTATGTAAAATCTCACGTGCATACATACTACATAACCTTATATTAAAATAAATCGATTATTTATTTATATTTATTATTACATAGATAACAAAGAAAAACACCAATCCACCTCAAAATAACGATATTTTCTACTCAAAATAAAAGCAAAAACTTTATTTAATTGCGGACAACATAAAGTCTTACATAAAATTTAAGAATTTAAATATCAACTTATTTACTTTTATCTATAAATATAACTAAAAAGACAATGGGTGTTTTCGGCATTCAGTCAGAGTTAACTCTAGAGTTAACAGTGGTGCTCAATGATATTATCTTTGAAAATTTATTTACCTAAATAAAATAATTGATTTTCTATTTTCATCACCCTGAGTTTGAAGTTAGTTGTCCTTGTTTGCTTACTTTTTTTAATTTATACGTATTTTTTGTTTTTCATTTAAAAATGGAACATATTTTTGCTACCCATAAACGTGTTATTTTTTTAAAGTTTATAATTTTTAAATTTTTCATTATTTCCCTAACTTTAATTAATCTGAATTGTTTTAGAAACTAGATTATTTATTTTAATTAAAGTTGTTTTTTATAAATAAAAAGTTAAAATAATTTTTAATAAAAAAAATTATTATGTTTCAATTTACACTTTTCAAAACAAACAATCCGTTCACAAATTTTGTCGGCCATTGAAGGTTAGGACTGACCCTTTTTCTTTACTCTCGCAAGAAAACAGAGTTAACTCTGGGTCATCTAGTAATTAATTTTTGGGGACTTTTATGAATACTAGAAACAAAAAATTTTATTTTAACATTACATTACTAGAATAAAAGGCCCGTTTCACATGTTGTTACAATTGCAAACCCTGCGCCAATCAAAATGAATCGTCTATGCCAAATTGCCAATCAACAACGTTCACAACCAACAGAAGAACTGAAAATCAAAATTTACATTTGAGCACCACTGCTAACTCTAGAGTTAACTCTGAGTGAATGCCGAAAACACCCCTAGTTACACGATTTTGGACAAATTAGCGAATCTGCGAACGTGCGAACGACCTAACACCCGAACCACCTCGCGGTTTTTCACGTCAAATACATGGAAACAGCGAAATCACAAACGGTTCTTTAAGGTGCTTTTATACCTCAAATTTCGATCACATGAACATTATTTCTGGACCGTGAAAATGCGTGAAAAGTCATTTTCAAAGCGGGTATTTTTGAATTGTTTTAAACAAAAAATGTTTTTTTAAGAAATATAATATTAAATAATTGTTTTAATATGTAAGAACACTTTAAAATAGTGATAGAAAAATGATTTGATTAAAAAATATAGCAAATTTTGCTTTAAAACGTTTCTGCAACAAGAAAGTGTAAAATGATGATGTTTGTGAAATGGTTTGTACAGTGTACATGTGTACATGTTTCTTTCAGTTATTCGAAACGATTAGTAGAATTTAAATTTATTTGATAAACATTTCAACTTACCGATTTATTTTCAGCACTCATTATTTATTACAAGTTAAAAAGAAACGACATAACATAAACAAAACTCTGAGAGACACTCACAAGGAAGAAGCACTGTACAAACCATTTCACAAACATTGTCATTTTATACTTTCTTGTAGCAGAAAACGTTTTAAAGCAAAATTTGCTAAATTTTTCAATCAAATCATCTTCCTATCACTATTTTAAAGTGTTCTTACATATTAAAACAATTATTTAATATTATATTTCTTAAAAAAACATTTTTTGTTTAAAACAATTCAAAAATACCCGCCGTGAAAATGACTTTTCACGGTCCAGGGGTCCTATTCTCGAAATCATTCGAATATTGTTCGTATGCGAGCAAATTCGATGGGTAAGTTTCGTGCACGAAGCAACAACCGTATTCTCGAGCACCATTCGAAACTTCGTTCGACGATCGTTCGTAGACGAATAGGTTGTACAGTGTTGCCGTCGTTTATTTCTAGTGACTTTCCAGTGTAATTTTTTTGAACCAATGAAATTACTTATGATATAAGAAATATTTATTGACTGCATCATTATTATTATTATTATTATTATTATTACTATTATTATTATTATTCTCATTATTATTATTATTATTATTATTATGAATGAAACTCTATAATTGATTACAATTCGAAACTTTGAATCCCTTTTATAATATGTGTACATAATATTATTAAATAATACTACTGCGCATGAGCAGTACCAAAATTCGAACACGAAACTGTTGCTTCGAGTGGTTAAGACCACTCGTTGCATTTCACTCGAATCGTTTCGTCTATGAACGCCTAGTGAACAGTTCAAGAATACAGTTTTCGACAAAGTTATTCGAAAGTCTTCGATTCGTGCACGGAACTCATTTCGAGAATAGCACCCCAGAAATAATGTTCATCTGATCGAAATTTGAGGTATAAAAGCACCTTTAGTTTTCGAGGCTAAAATGAATCGAGCATAAACTTGGTTTTGTGGTGGCGCGTAGAAGCTTCCGTACTTGTATACCTCATCGATCCCGAGTATACTTGCGTCGTGTACCATTGGAGTAAAGGTGACAAAAGATATTTCGGTCTATTTTACTCCAATGGTACACGACAGAAGTATACTCGGGATCGGTGAGGTATACAAGCGCCTTTATCCCTGTTTTCCAACTTTAGAATTTTTAATGCAAATGTTTCTCGACTGCTTTTAAAAATTTTAATTATTTAATATTTATAATTAAAAAATTCAGTGTCTTAAAAACATATACCAAACTTTTTGTTCGATATTGGTATCAATGCTTTGATGACGTCACTGCGACTCGGACTTGGACTTGTACTTTACTTTCGGACCTATTGTAGAAGCTCCTTTAGGAACCTATTGGAGAAAGGCCTTATGGAGGTTCTACAATAGGTGCAAAAGCCAAGTACAAGTGCAAGTCCAAATGCAAATCCCATGAGTGCAAGAGAGATAGATAGACTACCTATCCCCTTCGCACTCATGAGATTGACACTTGGACTTAGACTTGTACTTGGCTTTTGCACCTATTCTGAAACCACCTTTAAAGCCAACCCAGAATAGAAGCGCACCGGACACAGAGTTGCCAATGACCTACCTAACCTAAGCGCTTATATAAAATGCTTAATAATAAGAAAACGTTAATAAAGCATTATAAAAATATTTTCACTATTGAATTTATTTTTTTTGTTAATTATATTTCTTCTCAATAAAAAAATATTAATTTACATAATGTACTTAAGTATGTAAAAATAATAATAATTATTATAATATTAATAATTTTATTATATTTATATCATTATTTTTATTATTTTTTTATAAAATATATAATCTATTAAGGAGCTTCTACAATAGATGCAAGACCAAGTCCTGCAAATTTATTGTACTTGGATGCGCGCGCAACGTATTGCCAACTGTCGCTGAGGCGCAGTTGAAAATAATGGATTCAATTTTTAATTATAAATTAAATAAATTAAATATAATTGCTGCCATTGCTGGTTGCATTTAATTAAGTGAGGTAAGTAATCTTAAAAAAATAAATAACATTATTTTGAAAATAAAAAAATTGTGGGTTATGTGTACATAACTTATATGCAGTTTTAAAACATTGAAAGTAATTTTACATTTTTCACAGCGTAATAAAATTGTAATTGTTTAATTAATTAATTAATTAAATTAATTAATTAGTTTACATTTTTCACAGCGTAATAAAATTGTAATTGTTTAATTAATTAATTAATAAAATTGTAATTGTTTAATTAATTAATTAATTAATAAAATTGTAATTGTTTAATTAATTAAATTAATTAATTAGTTAATTAATTAATTAAACAATTACAATTTTATTAATTAATTAATTAATTAAACAATTACAATTTTATTACGCTGTGAAAAATGTAAAATTACTTTCAATGTTTTAAAACTGCATATAAGTTATGTACACATAACCCACAATTTTTTTATTTTCGAAATAATATTATTTATTTTTTTAAGATTACTTACCTCACTTAATTAAATGCAACCAGAAATGGCAGCAATTATATTTAATTTATAATTAAAAATTGAATCCAGTATTTTCAACTGCGCCTCAGCGACAGTTGGCAATACGTTGCGCGCGCATCCAAGTACAATAAATTTGCACTTGTACTTGGACTTGATCTTGCATCTATTGTAGAACCTCCTTTATTATTATCATCAATTTAATATTTAATAATTAATTATGTAATGTATTATTTATTTTTGTTATTATCATTAAATTGTTATTAATTAATTATCTATGATATATACTTATATGATATGTATATTTTTTGAAAAATTTAGCTAAATTTTTTTGTACTTTTTTATGAGGAAAATTTGAATTAGGAAAAAAGTACAAAAAAAATTCGGTTTATTTTTTTGAAATATATAGATGTAATACATTATCATAGATATTTTATAATAATTTATTGAAAATAATGAGAATAATAATAAATAATATAATAATTAATTAATAAATATTATATTGATGATAATAATAATAGATTATGAATATTTTATTTAAAAAATAATGACAATAATTATATAAATATAATAAAATTATTATTATTATTATTATTATTATATACTTAAGTATATTAAGGAAATTAGTATTTTTTTATTAGGAAGCAATATAATTAACAAAAAAAAATTCAATAGTAAAAATATTTTTATATTGCTTTATTAAAGTTTTCTTATTATTAAGCATTTTATATAAGCGCGCTTTTTTCGACCTACAAGAGAGTTGTCGTAGCGCAAGCGCAGTAGCGTTTAGGTAGGGTCATTGGCAACTCTGCTTTTCATGCTCACTTAGCACTCATAGCGAGAATCTGGAAATGGCCTGTTTTTAATCATATTTATATTATAACTTTATTACACTAATTATTTGTTAACCCCCAATTCATAAAAATCTGGTTATTTTAGGAATTTTTGCATAACCTATGATAATGAAATATATAAATATTATTTATATGACAGTCCTTGCAATTTTAAAAAAGATGAGATAATTTCTGATTCTCAAAGTTTCCACGGATAGCAGACTTGACGTTAGATTTGTGAAAAGCAAGCACATGCTATGTTGGCTTGCTCTACTTCGTGGTTGTGAAATTTTAATAAGTTTCCAAAAACTGACCCTTACACGTAGTCTTAATTGCGGTCTCAATTCTGACATTTGCTATTAAGAAATTTATTTATACTGTTCGTTTAGACCTTACAGAGATTATGTTTCTTGTTTTCTTTAAAGAAATTTGTGTAAAGCAACGAAAATTATCACCATTTATTTTTTTTAAACGGACATTATTTTCCAGTAATTATCTATCTTGGTCAGTAGAACAATCCATTCCATTTACAAAGGACTTCCTTTTCAGACAGGTAAATTTTGTATAAAATTATGCTCTCTGTCTAATAGTTCCTAGTAAAGTATACAAATTTTTGGGTCTTCTATACAGTAAGAAAAGCACAAGTATAATCATAGAAAAGCATGCGTTACGTCTGTCTCACTCGCACTCATGGGCTGTGTCTACCATAGTGCAGATTTGCAACAAGTGAGGGTAGAATTACAATATGTTTTATTCTAACTTTGGGCACAGAGATTTCCACATAAGATTTCTAATTTGCTAGGCACTAATTCGATACATTTAATTATATTCTTGACCAGCGCCACTTTCTATTTTGTTTCCAGTTCATGCGACTTAAAAAGCGTTATGTCAGTATAAAAGAATCAGATATGATGTAAAGAAGAAGGTTCACAATAAGTATAATATGATTACCTTAAGGGCATTGAATGTGAGGTGACTATTAATCCAAATTCAATATGGTCTTTTGTTAATAGATCAACGAATGTTTCTAGAATTCCTGGTAAGGTTTTGTATAAAATGGCCTTAAAATAGATAATCCACAAGATATTATAAATGCTTTTGCTATAGTTTTTTCGATAGCGTTTATAAACCTTCCACACATCCCGGAATATCTGAATCTGAACTTCTCAATTTTATTGGAGATATGGAATACATGTTGATGACAATGTAATTAGAGATAAAATGAAATTGTTAGGGGAATTGGAGCCCATTAAGGAAAATGACAAAAAAAACCAACTTATTCTTATAATAAAATATTGTTTCGGTCATATTTTACTCTTTTTGTTATATATCTTTAATTATAATTAATTAGAAATTAAAAGAAAAGAAAGGAAATTTGGGGCCGTCCATAAACCACGTAGCCAGTTTAGGGGGAGGGGAGGGGTTCGAGCCATGACTACGTAGTTGTATTTATTAAGTCATTTATATTGATATTTTTTAAATTGCGCGGGTAATTTCAATATCGAATTGAGCGGATATATGAATATAAAATAGAATTTTTGTAAAATTAAATATGTATAAATTATTTTAAAATGATTATTATAAACTTGATGAAAATAAGAAAAATAATTGGGTCTCACGAATAATATGCCATGAAAATTATAAAATTGCATTTTTAGTGTTTCAAAATCACCTGCTTTTAGAAATATTACTTAATGAAAAGAAATTAATGCAAACAATATTGTAAACAAATTTTTATTAATTAAGAATTCTACAATTTACTAAATTTTCATTCATTGAAATTTTTAATTAGCTATATTTTTATTTATCATAATTATTAGAATGAATTTCACTTTGTCGATTTTGCTGCCAAAACAAAATGGTAAATACATTATTATTTCATTTTAACAAACATTTAACTGGTAAGAATGTTTCAGTTAAACTTATTTTTATTAGAATTAATTTTTAATAGAAATTAAAAGTTATGTAATGTTAATATTATTAATTAATTATTATTCCTTATGTGTTCTTAAATTGAATTCTCTTTATTGGAAATTGTTATCTATTCAAAAGAAAAACATTTTTAAATAAGTAAAAAAAAACTACGTTCTACCAGTGGAGGGGGGGGGGGGGTTAGAGCGAAAGTCTACGTTGGTCTACATGGGTGGGGGTCAAAAAGTGCCAAAAATTGGGCTACGTGGTTTATGGACGGCCCCTTTGCAAAAAAAAAATTTTCTAAGAAACTGAATTTTTACTCTTACTTGAAATTCCAATAAAATGATAAAATTTCTATTTTCTTTCAATTTTTTTTATTTTGTCAATAATTCTCGACAGATGAACATTTTACAAAATATTTAAGACAAAAAAGACCTACAGCTTCTTTGGTATTAAAATATCCAATAATAACACATTTTAGACAATAAAACACAAATATCGATTCTCAGTAATTAAATATGCAACAATATTAAATTTTATAAATGAATCTTGTTCAATTTTCAAAAAAATAAGAAAAGCAATATCGAGGTAACGAAACTCTGCTGGCTGACACAATTCTTCCATTACCCCAAAGAATTTTAACAGACCACAATTTGAAAAAAAGAAGAAAAACAAATTTAATTATTACCTCTATTTTTATTCATGTATCCATCTCTACACATATTTATCTCTAATAAAATCACAAAACACAATTAAATAATAAATTTTTAACTATTTAATTTGATCTCCAGAAATATTTTCCATTTAAAAAAAACTCGAAAACTTGATTTTTTCTTGTAGTTTCTACAAATCTGTCAGGAATGTAACCATTTGTCTTGGTTAGACATACAGGAAGACTGTCCAAGTTTTCCGAGTTATTTCCGCGAAATTCAAAGTCTCTACACTGAGAAAAAAATGCTGTTGAATCAATGACATATGGGTTTGATTCTTTGAAAAGTGCCATACTGGGCTGTCTAACGTATATGTCATTGTTTTGAAAGCACCGATTTTAATGATTCGATAGTATCACTTTAATTGAAACATAAACATATTTCTTAAATCGACAGAAAACAATTTTAATATAAAGGTATTTTTATTGAATTAACAGAATATGCTTTTGAATCAAAGAATGTTATTTTTTAATATCTTTTATTATTTTTCATGTATTAGAATAACTCACATTGTCTTTATTAATGTTATTACTATTCCTACTTTTTTTAGTACATCATTATTTATGAATAATGTTATTTTTTAAATTAATTGCTTTCAGTTTATTTTCCACGTGGAAAGATTCCTAGGAAAGTGCTCCTGGGAATTTCCATTGAAATCCCGACAGAATTTTGTCGGAATTTCCAATAAGAATTGGCGGAAATTCCCAGGAGCTTTTCCATAGCAATCTTTTCCTATTATTTCTTGATATTCGTCTCGTTTTTAGTTTAAACGTTTTAACTTTTTTTTCCAAAGTTTTATTTTTGCACATCAATTTATTTTTTTTCAATAATTTTTCGCCTGGATTTTTTACATGTTGCGCATATTGTCATTTGCGGTCCTTTTTTAAAAACAACTTTTTTCATGACGAATCCTTCACAATTGGATGATCTAAAAAATAAATTTAATTATTTAAAAATAATTTATAATAATATATAACAAATAATTTTACAAACCTTTTACAATCATCTTTTGAGCACGGTAAAAATTTCGTTGGGCAAAACAACTATCTCCCTTACATTCGTGACGTGGTTAATATCTTGGATATTAATTTCACGGCTTTTAACAAAAACCTATAAAAAAAATTCTTTAATATATTACCAAATATTTGGAATTTTTTTAAGGAGGGTGGCCAGCTATCTGAAAATGTAAAGATTATTCTAAAATATAATCAAATACGTTTTTGAGAATCTTTGAATTCAAAAACACTTTTTTTTCAAAATTTTTTACAGTCCCGTTTTTGAAAATTTTATTTTATTATTATTTTATTATTACATATAATAATTTCCGTATTCATTCATTCATTCATTCAGTCTGTCCACACTTGAAGTTAGTCGTTTTTTTTGTTCTTTTTGCGAGGGGGAATTTACTCCGGTAGTAATAATAAGTATTATTGTGTAATATCATGTAATACTGTGTAACACTTGTAATATTGTGGTATTATGGTGTAATACCTTAAAAAAATTTAAAGAAAATCAAACCAAAAAATGTTAATATAAGTAAAAATTTTAAACACTTATTCAAATGTAGCGCGGGAGTTGATGCTGAAGTATAACAACTTTTCCATAGGTGGCGGTATCGAATGTTTACAGAATCAAATCAGAAGATGGTTCATTAGTAATTGGATGAATTTTAGCTTTTAGCTACCTAACCGGAATAAGTAAAAAAAATCGAATACAGTAAGATATCTGCTCCTGTAATTACACCGAAACAAAATGCACGTGGCTTAGGTAGTTTGTGTTCGTGATTTAAGATAGCAAAAACCAAATATTAAACGTTATAAACATGGATGCTTACGGATATTATAATATAGAAAATTATATTTGTTCAGTTCCTCGTCCAAAAATAAAACAAATAAGTTATATTTATCGTGTTCTTTAAAAGAAATTTCAAAACATTTGAAATAATAGATATTTACGTTTTAGAAAAGAGAAATTTATTATTTTCTTTTATAAGTAGGGTAAATGCACTAATTGCGGCGCGATTCGAGTCAAAACACCTTTGAAATAGAAAATTCGACATTTCTATTGTATAAACTCAATTTAAGACTTATTAAACTAAAAGGTTATGTTATTTAGATGTTAAAAAAAATGTTTAACTTTATAAAAATCGATTATTTAAACAAATATGAGAAATTAAAACTAATACCGTAATTTTCTATTGCGACGCGTTTGTATCAGTTTCGGTGACCAAAATAATGTGTATTTTGAAGATACTTTGCCCGCCAAAATTAGAGTCAATGGAAATATTAAAAATGTTTCAATTACGGCGAGGGAAAAAATTTGATCTCAAATAATTTAATTAATAATTGTTTAAATGTGCATCTTCATTAGTATTTGTATCAAAAAAAGATTAAAATAATTTTTTTTTAATCATTTTGCAACAGTTATATTAAATATAATAGTAATAATAGTTATTTTTTATGAACGCGCCGTAATTGATGCACTTACCCTAATATTTAAAAATATTTAATTATTTATTTCTCTATTTCTTCTTTTAAAGTTTTGCTCTTAAATAATAATTTTAAGTGATTCTATTGAAAGTCCTATGTATAAGAAAATGCTGTTTGATGTGTAATATTTTTTGTAATAAAGGGTAATACTCAGTAATATATGTGTAATACTTTGTAATACAGTAATATTTTGGTAGTAGTATGTAATACTTGTAAAAATTGTAATATTAAGGTAATAATGATAATATGTGTAGTTGTAGTCAAGTGTACACAATTTTTACTAGTAAATTCCCCCTCGTCTTTTTGTTTTTCTATTTTGACAATTCTTGATTTCGTAACATTTTATGGTTAACGCGAAGAATATTTTTATTCATCGTCATAAATAAAGTCATATACTGAGTGACAGTTTAAAGTAAAAAAAATATTGTTCATTGTGTGCA